CGGGATATTGTTAAAAAAACTTAACAGCATTGTGTCTTTTAACATATCTTTTCGTCGTAAACTATAGACTAATATTACATAGTATTTAATTGTACAGACCAACAAAATTTGAAAATTGTCGAAATCCAAACACCAAAGTATAGGTACATTTCAAGGTTCGAAAATATCGTGTCTAAAAACTTAAAAAACCCCGCTTTTGGCCACATTTGAGGCCTTATAAAAGCGGGAAGACTTCTTTATTTATAAAATCCATTATTTCGTCTGAATCTGACTTTTAAAATAAGGTTTATTCCTGTCTTAACTTAAAAACAACTGTAAATTTGCCTTTATTTTATATCTTCGCAAGTACAAAAGATTTATAAATAGTTCAACGGTTTTTATGGGAATTGTGACATATAAGTTTGTAAGACTAAGAATAAAGACGTAATGAAGCTAAAAACTTAGTTTTTGCTATTTTACAATTGTTCCATGGTTTAGGTTAAAATATCTCAAAGAAACTGACTGGTTAAGCATATATTTTTAAGTCATCTTTCAGATGACATAACATATTTTTTCAACAAATATGTCAGTATTTAGAGCACGATATCTCAAAAACCTAATGTGTTGGAGTAATTCAGATTCGGATTTACCGATCTTCAATCCCTGGGTTAAACATTTTTTGGCCTGTGTTATTTTACGTTTTATCACAATCACATTCTGCAATTCGAATCGAAATTTTCTCCATTTGGCTCCGTTCGATGCAAAGCATTGAAATTAAATGGAATTGCTTCTTCTTTTTCTTATGATTACGTTTTTTGTTGGAATACCAATTTTCGATGGTAGCGTAACTGAATGCGGAAACGTAATCGAAATACAGAATAGGGGTGATTATGTTTCAAAATTTTTTAACTTTTAAAAAAATCGAATTTTTTAATAAAAAAAGTCGATGTTTATATTGAAAATGTGTGTAAAAAACTTAAAATAAAATATTAATATCTTTATGAATACAGGGATTATATTAAAAAAAGTTGACGTTTATATTAAAAATGTGTGTAAAATAATGGATTAATATCCCGATATCGCGATTTATTTGAAAATTCCGAATCCCGGTATTTCTAAAAATCAATCCCGATTGGCATCCCTACTATGTACTATTGTAACAATATTGAAATAGAGAAAGAAAGTATTTTTTATATCGACTTTTTACCTTTATTCACAAAATAATCGAAATATTGACTTCGTTAGGGCAAAATAGTCGACTTCTATTTTTTTACAAAAAATCGATTGTTCGAAAATCGATTTATAGAAGCTCATAATAATTTACCCATTTATGAAATAAATAAAAACTACTTTATATATAAAATTTTAGTTTTAGTACAAATATTTTTATTATTACTATGGATCGAAAAAAAGAAAGATTTTGGTTTTTATCCCTAGTTGGAATTTAGAGAGTTTATTCACATAATTTAGAGGATTTTGTTGTTGAACAACATAAATTAAGTAAATAAAAAGTGTGTTTAATAATCATTTAAAGTTATTCGTTCGGAAAAAAATAAAACAAATCAAAAATTAATTTAAAAAAAATAATAAATGCTGTTTGTACTTGTCTTAATTACATATTCACTCAGACTATTGGATTTTTCTTCTATTCTTTAATCTGCACAGAAATCTTTAAGTGAGACAAGTACCAAAACACAGCAAAATTAATTCTTCATATTATTAAAACAAAAAAAAAAAAAAACTAAATGTCAAAAACATAAAAAAGAAAACGGGAATTTCTACGAAAAATGTATAGCTTAAAGCTTGTAAGAAAATCCACTTTTTAAGGCGTTAGCCTCTTAGGATCACGTGGGAACATGGATGTTTTGCGAATATTGTCAAGACCCAAGTACAACATGACAACACGTTCCATACCAATACCACCGCCAGCATGAGGAGGACAACCAAAACGGAACGATTCGATATAGGCAGCAATTTTACTAATATCTGTAAAGAAAAGTGTAAGTAAGAAATTGAATCAATGTTTTTTTACTCGATTCTTACCAATTCCATGATGTTTCGCCCTCTCGGTTAAAAAGTCTGGGTCATGAATACGTTGGGCACCAGATAGAATTTCCTCGCCTCTCATAAACATATCGTAGGAATTAGAGTAGATGGGATTGTTGGGATCAGGCATAGTGTAGAATGGACGTATAGCCAAGGGGAATTTGTCCAAAATATAAAAGTCAGTATCATATTTAGCTTTTACTAGACGACCCAACAATTTCTCATTGGGTGTTGAGAGATCCTCTTCATCACCAGTTTCAACACCAGCTTCTCTCAGCATAGCTACACCTTCCGAAAATTCTAAAATAAGTGGTGGTTCCAAGAACTTGAAGGGTTCTACTTTGTATTGTTGCCCCACGGCTTCAATTTCACGACTGTAACGATCGCGCAAACCTTTGAAAATACCAGTAAAGGTATTGCCAATGGTATGAAGTACTTCATGGTAGTGATATTTGAAGGACATTTCCAAATCAAGACCAACAAATTCAGTCAAATGTCTGTGAGTATTAGAGTCTTCAGCACGGAAAACAGCTCCTACGGTGAATACCTTGTCGAAATCGGCAGCAATAGCCATTTGTTTATACAATTGGGGTGATTGTGCCAAATAAGCGGAGTCTAAAAAATAAAAATGTTTGAAATATTACTCAACAAACAATAAATTTGCATAAGCATCTTTCTTTACCTTTGAAATAGCTAACGGTGAACACATTAGCACCACCCTCACTAGCAGCGGATATAATTTTTGGAGTGTGAATTTCAGTAAAACCTTTTTCAGTTAAAATATCGCGGAACAGTTTGCAAACACCGGCTTCCAAACGGAAAATTGCTTGATTTGCTGGTGTTCTCAAATCTAAAACACGATTATCTAAACGTGTGTCTTGGTTTACACGAATATTAAGTCCATCGGTGTCGTCAGCATTATCTGGGCGAGAAGCATCCTCAATTTGCAGAGGCAATTGTGGTTTAGCTTGGGAAACCACAAACAACTGCAAAAGGGATAATTCCAGGTTTTGTTCAGTACACGATTCGATTTTTGTGGGAACGCTCACAGCCTTAGCTTCAACATCGATAATGCTTTCTTTGTTCAAACTATAAAATGAAAACGAATTTATAAATTCTTATCTTTGATCATTGTCATCATTGTACTTACTTTCCAGCGAATTTAACAAATTGTTTGGATACGTTTTCTCCTACAGCAAGAATACATTGAACAGTACTGCTTTGTTGGCGTAAAACCAAAAAGCATTGTTTACCCTTGGCTCTGGTGTTATGAACACGGCCACGTACCCATACCGCATCTTTACCTACATGTTGATTCAATTCATGTACTGCCACGAATTTTCTTTCTTCATGCTTATTCTGGGAGTTAATAATACCAGACATGCCATAACGTCCAGCAGAGCAGTCTTCTGATGAATCGCCAGCTTCTGCAGTATTGTCGATTTTACCAGCTGCGGCTCTGTGTTCCGCTTTCTAAAAAGTAATAATGTATCTGTTATCCTCAAATATCAATTAAAATCATTATAATGTCCTAAAACTTACTTTTGCTGCTTTTAAAGCTTCTTTAGCCTGCTTCTTTGCTGCCTTTTTAGAAGTAGTTTCCCCTTCACCTGCAGGGTTTTGCGTAGCCGATTCGTTTTCAGTCACCATATTGATAAGATGTTTCTTTTATCTATGAAAAATAATAATGTTAAAAAATTGTATGGAATCTACCACAAGAATTAACCTCGACATCCGTCTTATAGCAAAATATTGCACTATTAAAAGCAACAATAATAAAGAGAACAATAATGTTGATAAGACAAGAACGATAAGCCGACTTTTAAGAGATAAAAACTAATTCTCTTATGTTACTTGCATGTCTTAGAAAAACTATTGCATCATATTAAAGAAACAAAAATTGTACTAACTTAAATAGTAAAAATGTTGATAAACAAAATTAAAATCCTACTAAATACAAAGAAAGTTTTTTTTTAACAAATTTATTATTTTTTCTATTTCAAATGCCATTTCCACTATCCACTGACAGAGCACGCAACACACCACATGCTTTATTTTCGCAACTGTTTTTAATGAAAACTTTTAAATGAAAAAAACTAAATTTTATATTTATACACTATGGTATTTATGTACAATAAAACTTTTCCATTAATTTACCTTTTATTTATTAAAATTTTATTTAAAAAATCTTAAAAATGAAACACTTTAAAAACAGATGAATAATGTTATCTGCTGCTGCTGAAGAAAAGAGAGCAGGCAACTACAATTTGACGTGTCAATATAGTTGCCAGATAGCTGTGTATAAAATTATAAGTATTTAAAAAATCGCTAAAATAATATATTTTTTACTCGGAATTAGGCAATGTATAATTTAAAAAATGCTTAAACAAAGATCTCCAATTCAGTTGATATTTGAATATTTGCCTTTATAATCTGAAAGACATTTTTATTGTAAGAATATTCCAATTCCAAAATTAACATTTTAAAATTCTTTAAAATTTCGATATAAGATTTCTCGAATTTACCCCCATTATCTCAATGTATGGTTATATTTTATCGTAAGGTTAAAGTGACAGTTTTCATACAAAAAATATTTTAACCGGCAGAATATCTACTAGTTATTCTTATCAATTAATGACTAGAATTTGAACTTAATGTAAAAATGTATAACTTTATACACATAAATTTTTTATTTTTGTTAAAAAAAAATATTTTCAATATACCTATTTGTATTGTTCTATAAAAATAAATATAGACTCCGGCAGCACTAAATTTAATACACATATTAAGGTACACTTAACAAGGTGGTAGCACTTATGTAGCTGCTTTTTGTTTGTTTTTATTTTAAGTTGTTTTTGTGCTATACAACTGTCAAGTGAAAGTCAAAAACAAGTAACTATTGACAAACTTTGACAGTTTTGTACACTTGAACAAAAAGAAAATGCCTGTTGTTTTTGTAAAATAATTTATTGTTGTAGAACTGCCACCACTGTATTAGATGTACTGTAATCTAGTACAAATTTAATACATTTATTATTTTCAAAGTAATTTTGTGTGTTTGTTTGTTTTTCTTTTTTAGTCCAGAATCATCTACCAAAACAAACTTAACAGTGTTTTAACACAAAAGCCATTAAACTACAAGTGAAAAATCAAAGTTATTGTGTTTAATATTTGTTTAAATCATCTCGAAAAGGTAAATAAATAATGTAAACAATAAAAAGATTAAAAAACGGAAAATTTTCACAAGAGAAACAATAATGAAAAATATCAAAATAGACGCAATTGTGATGTAAATGATTTCCTATTTTTTTCTACAAGTTACTGGCTCCAAAGTGTGACTCATACTTTTTACAATTTCTCGGTTATTTTCGCAATTTCTGTTAAGTGAGCCCAACAAATTGCAACTAAAAAAGTGCGAAGGTGTTACAGTTTTTTCTTATATCCAATATTATTCTTACTTCATAAAACATGACGCCACTAATTGCATGAGAGATGATTGGCCACTTTTCAAAGGCGACGCCATACATTCCGTGCGTTTAATAACAGGATATGAAAAAAATTATTAATGTTACTCGGTTGCCTTGAAAGTGGTTTAGGGGTCTACAAATTTTTTTAAGAAGTTTATTAAACTCATAATTATGTACTACTTTTGTGGAATTAGTATTTAAAAATAATTTAATCGATTTTTCCTCATTCCAAATGATTCAGAATTAAAATATCAATCTAACAAAAGCAATATGTATTAAAATGGACATTTTATGTTTTTTATCTTATCATAAGTAAATGAAATACTTTCAAAGTGGCTATATACCATCAATTCCAATAATCTTTGTGGTTTGATATATTGACGACTTTATCGTCATAGGTACAACATTATTTGAAAAAAACCTAATTTTTAACGCAGATTTTTTAATAAAAATGAAATCTTTATAAGGAAAACATACCTTTGAAATATTAAAAATAAGTTTGATCTTCTAAACGTCCCCAAGGTACATACATTTAAAAGGTATTAATTGTACCTCGAATGTATGTACCTACGTATGCATGTGAGCTTTTAAATACATATTAGAAGAAAAACATGAATTTAGAAAATTATGTTGTTTTGAAATTTTTGTATCTATCTATAAACAATTGACCTAAAAATCCCAGAAAAATAACAGTTTTTAATCAAATAGTTACCTACATATTTGTTAGTTATTGAATCATAGAATCTGGAAACTGCAATAAAATAATCTAATTATGTACTTTATATCTTTTTAGGTACATATTATAGATATTTAATACATAGTTCTAATACAACAGCAACATTATAATGGCTGGTAAGTAAGATTGAATGGAATTTTTTATTAAACTCGGCTTCTTTCTAATTTTCAGCTTTCAATTAAATAAACTTATACTTCAAAATTCAAAATCAATCTATTTACAACCTACTGAGTATTTAAAAGGAAAAGTTTGAGGAAATGTCTTGGCAAGGGGGCCCTTATTATCAAGGTTTAATTTTTAATTTGGTTATACCTAAATTTTTTGTTAATTTTCTTTAACACACAAACTAACAAAACTTGCTAGTGTATTTAACTAATTTGCATGCTTTAAATTTAATACGTTTTTTTCTAATACAAATTTAAGATTTGGCACTTGATACACATGTACAAACATTCATAAAATTTGGTGATAATTATTGCAAAAAAAAAGTGTTCAATTAGACTAACGTCATCCACGTAGTACTAGCATTTATATGTAGAACTGATACATATTATTATGTAGTATTTAAAATTGAGTTTTTGTTCTATTTTTTTTAACCTTACTGCTAGAAAGCTTTAATTAATTTGTTAATTAAGAAGTTTTTAATAATTCGTAACAAATTTAATTTTCTTAATGTTTTGTGTTTGTCTGCTAGAAATGCTGGACATAAATGAACATATTTTGTGAACTCTATAAGGTATTTCTTAAAATTTCTTAAACATGTCATTATATTGCCATTAGAAACCGTAATAAAAAATATGTCATTCTGACATCAAAGTACAAATCCATTTTTGTACTTAGTCATTTTTTTTTCTGGTTAATTCTGACTATTTCCGCCTTAAACCTGTGAATCTGATGAGCCAATTAAAATTTTATGTTTGTTTGTATATGTATGTAGTGCGAAAAGTGACAAAGTTTTGCACAACTTTTACTCGCCATTAATTATTATTTACGGGATTCCCTCATTTTATTTGCAAAATATATGTTACAGATAATTTTGACAAATAAAATAAATGATAAGGTCCAATTGTAAAATGTAAAATTCACTTTAAAATCCCAACCACTTCATAACGGAGAGAGTGGAATCAAAAGCCTTAAATATAACGTGGGCAATTAAATTATTTTATATTATAATAGTTATAAATACTTCTTAACGTACATATGCATATGTTTATTTCTACATATGTATGTATGTATGTATCAATAGTCATATATAGTACAAACAAACGTATTAAATATTTAAAAACAGGTGGCACATTGCTATAAAAACAACGATATTTTCAACACTTCTTGACGTGTATTAGTTTTATATATTTTCACCAAAACAACATTTATAAACAATTACTAATACACCATGTATACGTGGATATTAGAAAAGCATATTTCCAGTTAATGTATTATTACATACATACGTTTGTGTGAGAGTGTTCTATTTAAATTATTTTTCTTGCAATGGAATACTTTATCATTTATATACTTTCAACACACTCTCATTTGCTATATCAGTCTTATCTGTTTGATAACAAAGAATGGCATTTTTTCTTTATTTTTAAACATTAACTGGAAGTTATTCACGCCTTTTATATATGGTAAAACAGTAGTCTTTGTCCAACTATCAATATTCCCTCAAAACAAGCTTATTTTTTATTTCTAAAGTTATTTTCAAAGTAAACCACAAAATGTATCAATCTGTGAATTCAAATCAAGGAAAGTAGTTGTTTAAAGCTATAGAGGATTGCATTAAAAGTAATTTTATGTAAAGCATTGTTATAATGCATGTAAAAAATAATATTTGTTTTAACAAAATGTTATGAAGAAATGTAGAACACATGAACTAATTAAATTCAACTCCATCTCGAAACTAATTTCATGCACTGTAAATGATTTTAAATTTTAACAATTTCTTAATTATTTTAGATCCCAATCAACAATATTACGGCAGCGGCTATCCACCACCACAAGGAGCTTATCCACCACCAGGTGGTTACCCACCACCAGGAGGATATCCACCTCCAGCTGGAGGTTATCCTCCACCCGGAGGATATGGTGCTCCAGGCGGCTATCCTCCAGGAGGTTTTGTGCCACAACCTGGCTTCATACAACCACCTCCAGTTAATGACTCTTATGGAGGCTACGAAGATCCAGAAGCACCCAAAAACTTTTCATTCGATGACCAGAGTATTCGCAAAGGATTTATACGTAAAGTTTATATGATATTAATGGTAAGTATCTCTTAATATACAAATGTGTCTAAATTCAAAAATTATATTAAATTTGGCGTACTCTATTTGTTTAGGGTCAATTGCTGGTGACATTTGGTTTCGTGGCCTTATTCGCATTCCATGATGGTACTAAAGAATTTGTTAGAAGGAACTCATATCTGTTTTGGATTGCTTTGGCTGTTCTTTTGGTTACCATGATTTCAATGGCATGTTGTGAGGGAGTGCGACGTAAGACACCAATGAACTTTATATTCCTGGGTTTATTTACGTTGGCAGAATCTTTCTTGCTGGGCGTGTCAGCCAGTCGTTATGCGCCTAATGAGGTAAGTGCTAAATTGAAATCATCATCCACTTGAATTCTAAAGAAATGTATTTTTAGGTCCTTATGGCGGTTGGCATTACTGCGGCTGTTTGTTTGGCTTTAACACTATTCGCTATGCAAACGAAATATGATTTCACTATGTGCGGTGGGGTCCTCCTAGTTTGTATGGTGGTGTTTGTTATCTTTGGCATTGTAGCAATTTTCGTGCAGGGCAAAATAATGACACTGGTTTATTCATCAATTGGAGCCTTGCTGTTCTCCATTTATTTGGTATACGACACCCAATTAATGATGGGAGGTGACCACAAGTACTCCATTAGCCCCGAGGAATACATTTTTGCCGCTTTAAATCTGTACTTGGATATTGTTAATATATTCATGTACATTTTGGCCATTATAGGGGCATCGAGAGACTAAACACTATCGATTGCATAAACAATTTTGCAGAGAAAAAATGAAACAATCTCTATAAACATAAAACAATAATTGTTGTTTATTCAATACAACAACAACTATATAAACCCATTATTAAAATATTCTAAGCAATTAAAGAATTTACTTAAAAAAAAGGTGAAAGAGAAATTTAATCAAGCTATTATGTTGTTGTTTCTTACCTAAATTCCCTTTAACATTATAACTAAACATTTTAAAATATGGATTATACAAATTTTTATTTTAACTAATGCAAACTTGTCTACATTTATATAAATGCATACATACATACCTACATATTTATGCTTAATGTTAAATTCTTATTTATTTTTATACATAAATAAGTTCTAAACTTGTCAATGGTTAAGAAGAAAAAAATCATAGTATGCTTAATACCACAATAAAAAAAGAACCTTGTTAGTCATTAACTAATTTCCTATCTTGTTGAAAAATAATGAATTATTCATATAGATTAAACTATCATTGTTTAGTATTGTTATTTATTATACATTTTTTGTTTTGTTCTGTTTTTTTATGAATTATAGTATTTTTTGTTAACCTTATACCAAAAAAAAAAAATAATAATAATAGATTTATAACTTATTATTTAAAAGTTATTGTAATTAATTTTTTTAAATTGTTGCTCATTTTTAATATATTTACTTTACATCTGAAACCATTAAAAATCCAATAAAAAATAATATGAAACTATATTTCGTGAAAATTATGTATATTTGGAATATTAAAAATGTAATAAAATTAAATAATTTAGAAATTCCAATTCAATTTGTGTATTATTTTTACTACATTTATATTCAAAACTTGTTTTGATGCAAGAACAAATTGACATACATTTTAAATTGCATACTATTTCTGTAGTATAATTGAATTGAAAAATATGTTTCTTAAGAAAACCATTAAAAAAATATTAGTACATTGTATTTGTTTAACTCTCGGGCAAAAATCTATTTATATGGATAAATGCGCTATGAAATTGTGTATGTTGTTGTGGAATAAATTAATAGCATTAATAATAAACCTTAAAGTTATGTTCAATTTATGATTTTTCCTAAATTTATACTATTTTACATTATTATCTTTATTTGTTAAACACCCCGATTCTTTATTTCTGTTTTACATATGCTACACACTGTATACTGTCGTTTACATCTATCTGATCTTGAATTTCGGGATTTCCGAACATTATTTTTGGGATCATTATCACAACAATTGGAAAGAAAGCTCAAAGGTACGGCCTCACCTTCTGCTATTGTTTGAGGCAAGTTTTTGCCTTTTGTTTCGGGCAAAAATAAACTAGCTACACCTCCGACAATTAGCAGAGAACCCATAACGATTAAAGGTAAAACAAGCATTTGTTGTCCCATGTGATTTATAATTGGAATGACTATGGGACCGATCATAGCTATAACTGAACTGAAACTCATGCCCAAACCTCTTACGACAGTGGGATAGATTTCCGATGCCAGTAGCGGCAGAACAACAAAAGCAGATGAAATGCCCATTTTACCAATGCAATACAATATTAACATCATGTCGGCATTTTCACTATAAAGGAACGTGGTAACACATGCCACGCCACCAGATAACATTGAAATGCACAATATGAAACGACGTCCAAAATAGCTTAATCCCGGCCATAGTAAAATATATGTGGGCAACTCGACAACACCCGCCAAAAAGAAATTCCATATTTCATCGCCACCCAAAGCAGGAGCATAATAGCTTAGACCGACGTATACACTTGTATTGGCAAACCATATCAACGTAATTATTAATGTTTTGCGACACATATTTTTGGTCCTGAAAAGATCTAAAATACCAGCAGAGGTTGAACTATTGCTGGATTGGTGCGTTGACTGAAATTTCTGTTCAATGATATTGATAAAATCTGGAACAACCGTTAAACCATTTACTCTCGCCATTGTCTTTAAGACTTTAGCAGCTTTACGTGGTTGTCCGACCGCCATTAACCACCTGGGCGATTCGGGCAAAACAAAAAAACAAGAGAACAGCAGCAATAACGGCAAAGAAACTGCCAAAGTTAAATATCGCCAATCACGTACTATATATACAATACCTGCTAACAGTACCAAACCGCAGGAATATGCAATGTTGGAGACTATGGTGCAGAAGACACGTTTATCAGGACCCACCATTTCAATGGCTGAAAATTAAAATTTTAATGCAAATATTAATTAGTATATACATTCATTTGTATTTTTATTTGTTACAATTACATTATTACTCACCCAATACATATGGACTGGCTAATATGGCCGGTACGGTAAGGCCCACGATAAATCGTAAGCCCAGCCAAGAGTTAAAACTCCAAGCCAAAGCGCTAGCAGCACATGCGGCTATTTCCAGCATTAGATATGCGTAAAAGCTAGGTCTTCTTCCCCACATATCTTGAAGATATCCAAAAATATAGTTTCCTACAAGACCACCTACACCGAATACGACCAACGCAAGTGTAACTAAATAGCTCTGATCACATACCAAGTTCCACTGTAAAAATTTTCAAAGGACATTCAAGGTTAGTAAAAAAATCGAACATTCTCGAGAACGCCTTACCTCAGTAACAACTGTTGTTGGATACTGTGAACGATCATAATGCCAACCATGCTGGCACGGCATTAATTTTGAACCAGAAGGACTACCTATATGCCACACCTTATCACGTTGTAAATCAACTGGAGTACGATATTCCATGTAACGTACGATATCTGAATAATTTCGCACATACATTTCACATTGAGAATATTCAGTTGCTGTGAGTGGTATGCTAAGATTCATTACTAATTCGGTATAATCCTGTACCCATGGTTCCAATTCGGGTATGCGACACCAGTGTTTAGGCGTGGCTGCAATAAATAATTGACTAAACAATTGCATTTACACATTTTTTCAAATGAAGTCTTTTAACTGAATTGTTCGTCGATTACCCACCTATAGGCATGGAAGGCGCATGGAAGGGCAGCAGGCAATAAAACGGCACAAATAATAATTTTTTGATATAATCCAAAGGATCCTACCTCCTTAAGTACTTCATCGAAATCCATTTTTTATTATTCAATATTTTATAAAGTAAAATAATCCGATTCGAAATATAAACACTGTGTGTGTTTTTTTGTAGAGCAACAGTCCAACTGAACTTAGTTCCATCTGTCCATTTGAAGAGTGTATGCAAATCGCAAAATCTTATTAATTGAAAACAAAGGAAATTTGTCTAAGTTTGATAGTTTTGTGAAAATATTTACGTTTTTTATGTGTGTGTAACTGTGATTGTGCACAAAGATTTCAATTGGACATAATTATATTATGGGGCTACAAGTGTTTAATTAATTGCCTACCACTGGGCTTTGAAGGTCTTTACAACATAACACACTGGGACACATTTTATCTAAACACCATTTCCATATTAGCATGGAATATTTTCAACTGCATAATTTTTCTTATTGTAGCTAAAAGTTATTCAAAATTTCAAAATACTTTTTTTATATGTATTGGAAATTTATTTGCAAAATTAGTATGTAATTAGATTTAAATAAAATATTTTAAATTTAATAATTCTAACGGTTTTATTTATTCGATATGGTGGCATCCTTTTTCATGATACCGGTTTATTAAGTGTAAAATTATACAACTGTGTTTAGCAATAACAACAAAAGTAATATTAGAAAAAAGTAGTGCAGCTGATCAAGTCTAAATAAACATTTTAATTAAGTAAATTGCAACTTTATTAAATTAAAAATTAATAAAGAAAATTTCATTCTGAGACATCATTATGCGTAAATATCAACAGCTGCTGTTATTGCTTATATCGGTCATAAGTGTTGGAGTACTTTTCATGTACAAAACGGAGAATAATCGATTGAAAGATGTCTTGCATGTAATTAATTTCTTTGGACGCAACGATGCAGCTATTTTAAAGAGAATCGAAAATAATGCCACTATGAATTATTTAGTTGATTACCTACATCCTCTGGCAGTATGGCAATCAATTGGTGATAATTTTCATGGTTATTCGGCACATTGGAAACGTAATGAGTTAGTGGCTGGTGGAGAGGCAGTGGTGCTGGTAGTTGGTCGTAAAGGTGCCGTTTTGAATTTTAAATGTTCTCTCAGCTTTAAAGGTAGCTCTTCAAATATACAGGGTAAATTTCGTTTCCAGAGACTGGATAAAGATGGAGATGATGACAATTCCGATTTTACACGTTATAATTTCTATTGTCGTGTTACACGCGACTTTGGTCTGCCCGAAACAGTTACGTTTAATGACCTCACTAGTAGCAGTAAAAATGGACATTCATTAAGGCTTCGTCATGTTAAAGTTATTGATGATTTATCAAAGAAATTAGCCATACATCCTTTAACAGTATGCGTAGATCTGCTAAGTCCAGAATTTCAAAATATGACTGCGGTAGACAAACAAAGCCCGGAATTACTCGAATTTTTCATACACCATTTTGCTCTGGGTATAGAGGATTTCATAATATACAATGGAGATAGTTTACCCCAAAATTTACTACCCTTGCTAAACCGTTTTAATATACGTGTTCATTTGTTGCCTTTTAATTTTCCCTACACAATGCAAAATGCCAGTGAAAGAATACGTGGCCTAATCGAATCAGACTGCTTGCTAAGATCCACCAACAGAGCTCGTCACTGTTTGTTATTGGCTCCCAATGAATTCTTCTATCCCAACACAAAACTTGACCATCAGAAATCTATCGTACGCGCTCTAAATCACTACTCAAACGAGGTATCCCGCTTTGATTTGCCAGTATTTGCAGTTTGTAAATCCGAAAAATACAAATATCTATTCGAAAACAATTTATACGACCCCGAACTTCGTCCTTTGCATACCATTTCGATATACAGACCACAAGATACAGGTATAGCACTAAGTGCCGAGGATTTATCGAATACTCCTAGGCGAATTGCATTGCCTTTGTCACAAGTATTCACTCATCGTTATGTCAACTGTGTTCACGTAGGTAAAGATGGACTACATGATTGGCGCAATTCTTTGAGAGAGGATTTCATGCAACACATACAAAGACTCAACCAAGAGATTAAGATTTTAATATAACTTGTTATATAGAATTTAGAGTATTAGAATATTTTTTCTTTTTTACATTTCCAGTCTTCCTTGAATTATTTTTTACATCTTAGGTTTAAAATTTTTACAAATTAAAAAAGCACATTTTGCTTCCGCACTTCATAGTAATTATTTGTATTAAATAAAACCATTTTATATTTCAATTACTTTATACGAATTTTTATGTTATTATTATTCATAGTAATCCAACAAATAAGAAAATAAGAATTTATGTATAGAGGATAAAACTAACCATTGAAGTAATGTAAAAAATGTTGAAATGGAATACGATTTGATGCTTTTGAAATCTTCTTGACTCTTGTGTATAACAACTGACTAATTATTTATCTTTCACAAACTAAATTCTTATTTTAGTCTTTGCATTAGAGCAGCGTTTTTAAGACCAGCTGATTCTATGGTAGCACTTACATCAGTTAGTTCTCGTGTAGGAAATGATGAAACCAATATGAAATTACGATTTGCATATTGAGGACGTGCACTAAAAATAATAACTTATGTTAGTAGAAAGCCTAAACAATTAAAATGTATATTTACGTTTGTATATATTCTTGTATATCGCCTACAGTGTGGGACAGATTAAATTGTGATGCTAGACGTGTGCCATCAGCTAAACGTATTTGTAGTGTTGTAGTTGGAGCAGAGGTATCAACTTTAAGCTTTTCCTTTGCTGCTTCATCACATGATTTTGTGTCAGTAGGTGCATCCGCTGATGCTGAAGCTGCCGATGGTAAATCGGTAGTATTTTCAGTAATATTGGGTGTTGGGCTGGAGAAAAAGAAGACGATTTACTGATAACCTAGCTTTTATATATTTTAAATGCCAATAATTACCTTCCTAATGCATGTCCAGAACCTTTGAAAGTCTTTACGGTTGTTGGCTTCTTTTTGTAATCTTCATGTCGATGGTCTTCTACATCAACATTGACCAACCAGCCCATTTCCAAAAGTTCATTGGGAATCTCGCTATTTGTATACAAAATAAATTACACAAAATCAATTCCGACGCGGCGCAAAACAGTCATTTACTATGACTTAAACTTACCCTCTCATAACAGTTTCTAAAAATTCCTTGTTTTGAGGATCATCATACAAGCGTAGTTCTCCATCATCAATGGAAAATCCTTGGCTCCACAATTTTAACACAACTACTGGTTTAGTTTTATCGCCTTCTTTAGAGGAGGGCGTAACAACTGAATGGTCGGAATCAGTCATACCAAGACGAATTCCTTGTCCCCAGCTTGCCCCGGAGGAAGTGCTTGGAGCTGGTGCACTATCAACACCTGCACTATTTTCTTGAGCCATGCGAAACATATCAGTTAATTGCTCACGAAAGTTTTTACGTTTTGGTGGGCCTAAAACTTGTTGACCAGAACGATCAGAGCCGCCGGCATAAAATGCTTGACCTTCCTCATCATCGTTGCTGCTGTTACGTTTTGACATGTCACCCAGTGTGGCAAACCTAAAAAAAATAAAATTAACTTACTACTAAAAGCTTAAATTTAATATTTGAAATCTATACCTTGGTTTGGCACCAGAAGTACCTTTACCAAAATTTCCACCTTCTGATGATGCTGTTTTCGTCTCGCTCAAGTCTGTAGCCGTCTGCTCTTCTGGTACGCCGCCTGCGGCTTCTGACATACCCTCATCTGCTTGATTACCCAAAAAATTCGACAAAGCATCCTTTAAAAACAATATTTTCATCAAAAGTCTTTGTTAGAAGTTTCGCATTGAATGGCATTTTTACCTCTAATGACCAATTGCTGCTAGACAAATAAAATCTAGCAACATTTTCTTCTCCACCACTTATATCAATAAATTGGGCAATTAATTCATCATGATCTGCCATGCTGTCTTTTTATTTAATCCTTTTCAACAAAATACTATGGTTTATTTGTTTATAGAAAAGAATTTTGCAAAATGTTCTTTAATATTTTTGCACAATGATTTTACAAAAAACAAATAATCGTCTAGCAGAGCCGTGCGCCGACAAATAATAACTACGTCGGCGTCTGACACTAAAAATGTCGGCGGCGGCTTAAAATCGACTGTAAGCCGTCTAGTTAGTTAGTTTGAAAGAGGGTGTATATAAAACAAACCCCAAGAAATACACCTAGGCCTTTATTGGGCCTGTTGTGCACTCCTTAACCAGTTCCTAAGGTGAGAATCGAACTACCAGACTAGAGCACTAACCATTAACATATCGGAGGCCACCTATTCTAAGCCGACAAAGTTTTCAGTTATTTTTAAATTTTCAACGATTTTAAATAAAAAGAGGATCCGAGACATTTAAGAGTGGGATTTTGAAAGCAAATATTTTAAAAATCGGGATTGTCTATCAGTGTAGGAAATTTTTGTATTCGTAATACTATTTTATTTATTTCTCTCGTTATACAACTCATTTTCACGAGATTTATTTTTAAACTCACGAGAACTATGTATTTATATTTCAACTCTCCAACTACATCGAAAGCTTTTGAAAATACTTACAGATTATCAAGAGGGCTAATGTAATATTTAAAGCAAAAAGAGGCAGTAAAAAGGCCTCCCAAATGCATTACACATACACTAGTTCCATGGAACGTATACTAGTTCCGAAACAACATCTTTAGTAGTCATTTGACTATTTCCAAAGAAGTAAAATATGGATCAAATATTTAACAAACACTTGTTGTTCCCATTTCCAAACTTGTTTTAAATTGTCGTTCATACTAACCTTCTTTAAAAAGTCCTGAAAATTAGTGTTTACCATTGAATAAAATAAATAAACAAACACTTTTATATATTTAAATATAAAATTATAAATTTTATTAAAAATTACATAGTACATACAATATTAAAAATAATTTGTTTATTACTTAACAAAACAATTTACAACAATTTTGGATTTGAAAACCAGTTCCATTAACCACTTTTATTTTTAAAATTAAATAACATGAAAAAATATGTATTAGTTTTGATCGCTCTGAAATTGAAAAAATAAAAGAAATTGAAAACAGAAACAAAAATATTTCAAAATTAATATAAAAAATAATATGCATTGATGTATGTATCAATATTTACTACCCATGAGTATCAAAGTTAGAATATAATTATAAAGCTTTTTAGGAAATTAATATATATGTACATAGGTAGGTATGTATGTATATCTTTATTTTATATACTACTACATGTTTATTTGAATATTATTAATTTACTGTAATTTTTCAAATTAAAAAAACTTTTTAGATTATTGCGGACTTTTATTATTTATTTAATATATAAGTATGTAAACAAACTAAGAAATAACAATTGTTGATGTAATATGTGATAAAAAAATCGACTACATAATGTTTAAAAGAAAGTAATAACTGCAAACATACATGTTTTTATGTATGTAGTATATAAATATTACCCAACATGCCATGACATTTTATGTAAGAAACTTTAAATAAAAAAATGTAATAAGTATGATTATTTTTTTTAATGATTATTACATTTTACTCCAAACTAAATACTAGATAGAAAGTTCAAATGATAGTATGTTTTGTAGTGTTTTACATTGTAAGTAGATAGAAGAAGTTTAATGTTCAATCAATCAATTTTCCTTTATGCGTTTCTAAGTAAGTATGTAAATAAGCGATGAGGTAAGCGATGCTGATCAAAACGGAAACTGCACAATAATGCCATCCTAGACGTGTTTACAAGAGTTGTAAAACAGTGTTATTGGTTCATATTGTGTTTGTGTGTGAGTGTACTTAGCTTAGCGCGAAAACAGTTTCCCCTTTAATGTACATATTGGATGAGTTATTTTTATTCAACCTTATGAAATTAATAATAAATATAATATTGAGACATTTTTTATTTACCTGCATGAAATGATTTGCCAGGAATGTTAATCCAATGCCTAAACCAAAGGCAAATATATGCGTTAAGTACATGTTGGGTAATGGACGACGTTTACGCAATAAGAAATTCAAAATATTCGCTTTACGTTCCGAGTATGGAGGATAGCGACCACTATCAGAAAAAGAAACCAATATTATATTACAAATATGCTAACATGAAAGGAGAAATTTTAATACTTACGAAGCTAATTTTTCTCCAAGTGGTTTTAAATCTTTACCCAAGCAGGATTTTTTATGGGTAAATGTATCAAAGCCATATTTGCCATGATAACAGCCCATACCACTGGAACCAACGCCTCCAAATGGTAGTACATCAACTGAATTCGTAGAAATTCACAAAAGAAATATTTATTATTTTGCTGAAATGTTTATAATAATTAATTTGTTAAAGGTCTTATCGATTTTTTTATCACTCGTTTTTACTAGGATTTGACTCCACATTTCCTGTTAAACTATTTCTAAAATTTCGAACGTTTTTCCAGTTTTTTAGTTGAATTATTGAAATGAATTTCCTTAGATTTTTTTAATAATTAATTCCTAAAGCTTTTATGTAGTTAAATTGTCTTTCTTGCGATCTTGCTCGTTGTTTTTAATACATATTAAATCGATAAAGCCTTTAACATATTATTACAAAGAACAAGCATTTTAACTTAGATAAATACAAAAGCAAATTTAAATACAAAAATTATATAAAGATTAGTGTATCGAATTGAATTAATTAACTTAAACTAATTTAATTTACATAGTAATTATTTAAATTGCTTTAACGTCAACAAATTGTATTATAACAATTTAATTTATTAGAGGTTTATAAAACAAAGTTTGTAACATTTATTTTTATCTATAGGCTTTATTCACAATAATTTATCAAATTTTTCGTAAAAAATTGTTCTATAAACCTTTGATAAATTATTATGAATAAGCCATAGAGTGCTTCGACAGTTTATTTTGAGAATTTATTTTGTATTTTAAAAAAAAATTACAATACGGCCTATAAACAATTTGTTGAGTTGTGCAATTTATAATTTTAGTTAATACTTGCAAAAAGAAAGCAAAAAAAAAATTTTTTAAAGTGCCAATCAAGCATTAAATTGAATAAAGTAAAAAATAAGATTAACTAATATTACATACAGTATATGGTTTTCATAAATTTCATAAGTTTTTGTATAAAACAGATGTGTTTTACTTGTAATTTTGATTTAAATAAAACTATAAAGAAAATACTAATAGTAATACTAGCAGTCAAAGGAAAATTTTGTACTAATTACTCATATAAATTTCTAAAAGGTGAAAGATTAAAGATCTTATTTTCATAAATAAATTTGTTATGGGCATATTTTAAAAGTAAACTAATGTGTTAGGAAGAAAATGTGTAATTTTCAATTTCTGAAGGAGTGTCTTTAAGAGGAATACTAGACCCCACATTGGAATTTTATTAATACAAATTCTTAAAATTTTAAAGTCTAATTATTTGCATATACACACACACTGAAGTGGCTAATAGCTAAATAAAACAGTTTTATTGTTTGTACCTTGAAAATGATTTAAAGTTTCATTACTGCAAAAACCTCCACTGGATGTTTGAGCCTTAAATAATTCTATAGTTTTTTGAGAATTACTCAAAACATATAATGCCAAAGGTTTTTCTCTATATAGTATATAAATTAAAAGTATTGTTTGGTAGATTTAAAAATAATTAAATATAAAAATAAAAATAAATTAGTGTTAATATAAATACATAAACATGCAAACACAAGGAATTCTTTTGTCAGACTTAAAACTATAAACCCTTCAGAAATACATGCATAATTTCTATTAATAGTTTATTAATTAAATAAAACCAATACCTCCGACGTGCATAATAGTGTCATTACTGCAAAATCCACCACTTTGGGTATTATCTACAAACTCCTGTACGAGTTTCTGCGATTTGGAGAAAACATAAACGACTAAAGGCTTTTCCCTATTTAAAAATGTTTAAAAGTTTATAATAACAAATATAAATGATAATATATTTATTTATAAATTACATAAAAACATAAAAACATAAAAAATAATAAGTATACGCCACCAACACCTTAAATATCCTTGACCTACATACATACACTACAACTATTTAGGAATAAACATAAAATCGTCTGAAAAATTCTCTAAACAAATTTCACCTTCACCCAGAAGTTTGATTTTAGACATGAATTAAAGTTGTTTGTTTTGGTTTTCTTACCGGCGTAATGCATTATTGTATCATTTAATAAAATGCCTCCTGATTGTGTACCGTGTATGAATAAATTTTGTACTTCTGGTTCCATTGTGAAAATGTACATCGCTAGTGGGCTTTCTCTAATATATTTTTTTTATTTTTGTTTCGTTAATGTATGAATTTATCATGTAAATCGTGGGACAAGACACATGTTTGTAAATGAAAAATAAAAAAATATTTAATGAGTGCAAATGTTTGTTTTTCTTTTTCCAAATTATACAAAAAAAAAAAAATAATAATAATATTTCTCTAGAGAATTACACATAGAACAGGAACATTTCATTTTCATACCTACCAAAGAGAAATGCGCTTTTTTTAAACTATTTTTTTTTTACAGTTGAGTTTCCTCTCTATGTCATTCTCTATGTTGTGTAATTAATAATTTTTTTCCAAATTTTATTTTTTCCATGAAATGTGCTTTTATATGTGTGAAAATAATGAGAAAACACAATACAAAAGTACAATGAATATGAAAAATTAGAACCTCCCTGGGACACAACAACAACAGTATTCAAATGAAATTTTACCATTAAATACAAAAACAACGAATTAATTTGAAATTAATTCTGAAATCACCAAAAAATGTAAACAAAGCATAGGAATACGTCAAAGTCTCTCATATTAATTAAAATACTTTTCATTTGGCAAATTAATGAATATTTTTAAGTACTTTACATAAGTCAATGACTATTAAATTACGCGAGGGTACACATATTTTATTTATTGTAAACTCTACAGTTTAAGAGTCAATTTTATTTTGATTCAATGATTCGAAGAGCTTTTAACTTAATTCAAAAAAAAAAATTATTATTTTAACAAATTTCTAAACAAACAAGATTATTTATTAGCTTTTAACGTATTCATATGCCTTGTATTCGTAATTGGAATAAATTTATTTTAAATCATATTCTTGCAACATTTGTCTTACCTGGAATTAATGAATTTAATTGCTTCGTAGGCACTCTCCACATTAATAATTGGCAAGATGGGTCCGAAAATTTCTGACTGCATAACGGGATCTTCTGGTTTTACATCAACAATTACAGTTGGTTCAATAAAACGTTCGGCTGCATTGTGATTGCCACCAATAGCAATTTTGCCATGTTTCATTAAACCCACTAAACGACTGTAGAAATAGTAAGAGTTTAATGGTTAAATAAAATACTTAAAACAACGTTTTCTAATACGTACTCGAAATTAGTTTTATTAATAATACGACTGAGATCAGGACTGTCTTTGATATTGTCACCGTACCATTCCTTAAGTATAATTTTGGCTTCTTTGATGAATTGTTCTTGAATTTCTTTGGAACACAAAACATAATCGGGGGCAATACATGTCTGGCCACAGTTTATTAATTTGCCCCATAAAATACGTTTAACGGCTGTGGTTAATTCTACAGATTTGTCAATATAACAGGGACTTTTGCCGCCCAATTCCAAAGTACAAGGTGTCAAATATTTATTGGCGGCAGCATGTATAATCTGGCCAACGCGTGTGGAACCAGTATAGAAAATGTAATCAAAACGTTGCTTAAGAAGTTCTGTTGTTTCTTCGGGACCACCACAAACGACTGGATAGCATTCCTAGTAGAAGCAAAATATTATTATATGAATACCTAGACAATTTCTTCAATTTAACTTACATTATCCAAATATTTTGGTAAAGTTTCTTCTACGAATTTAGCACAATTCGCTGCAATTTCACTGGGTTTTATAACAACACAATTACCAGCTGCAATGGCAGATGCTACAGGAACCAACAACAATTGCAAGGGATAATTCCAGGCGCCAATCACAAGTACCACACCATAGGGATCATTATAAATTTGCACATCATCCATTAAATTGACCAAAGGTTTCTCGGGATACTCTGGCTTTACCCAGTCATTTATATTGTATAGAATGTGCTTTATATCGTTTTTCATAAACTCTGTTTCAACGACCAAACTTTCCTGTTTGGGACGACGCAAATCAGCGTCTAAAGCATTAATCATGTCATTTTCATGCTCCTCATACATTCGCAGGAGATTTTCCAACTGTTTCTTTCTAAAAAATGAAATGATATAATTGTGTATTTAATTAAGTATCCAAAATATTCTTATTAATAGAACAAAAAACAAAAAAACAAAATTTGTCTTTTATAAAATCTAGATAATTGCTTACAAAATGTTTGAGGAAGTTATTACTAGTCAAGGATTCAAAATAATTAATTCTCTTATGCTTTTTATATCCTTTACCTATGTATGTGAGAAGGTTATAACAATATATACATATATTCTGAATCCTTATAGATTTAGCGTTGCACGTATGTCTGTCTGTCTGTCTGTGTTTTGTTGAAAAGAATTTACTGAAGGACCCGGTTATCTACAGAATCCAAGACTATAGACTAGACTATAGACTAGACTACAGACTAGACTATAGACTAGACTATAGACTAGACTATAGACTAGACTATAGACTAGACTAGACTATAGACTATAGACTAGACTAGAATAGACTAGACTAGACTAGACTAGACTAGACTAGACTAGACTAGACTAGACTAGACTAGACTAGACTAGACTAGACTAGACTAGACTAGAATAGACTAGATTAGACTAGACTAGACTATAGACTAGACTATAGACTAGACTATAGACTAGACTATAGACTAGAATATAGACTAGAATATAGACTAGACTATAGACTAGACTATAGACTAGGCTGTAGAGTAGACTATAGACTAGACTATAGACTAGAATATAGACTAGACTATAGACTAGACTATAGACTAGACTGTAGACTAGACTGTAGACTAGACTATAGACTATAGACTAGAATATAGACTAGAATATAGACTAGAATAGACTAGACTAGACTAGACTAGACTATAGACTAGACTATAGACTAGACTATAGACTAGACTATAGACTAGACTATAGACTAGACTATAGACTAGACTATAGACTAGACTATAGACTAGACTATAGACTAGACTATAGACTAGACTATAGACTAGACTATAGACTAGACTACAGACTAGACTATAGACTAGACTATAGACTAGACTATAGACTAGACTATAGACTAGACTATAGACTAGACTATAGACTAGACTATAGACTAGACTATAGACTAGACTATAGACTATACTATAGACTATACTATAGACTAGACTATAGACTAGACTATAGACTAGACTATAGACTAGACTATAGACTAGACTATAGACTAGACTATAGACTAGACTATAGACTAGACTATAGACTAGACTATAGACTAGAATATAGACTATACTATAGACTAGACTATAGACTAGAATATAGACTAGAATATAGACTAGAATATAGACTAGACTATAGACTAGACTATAGACTAGACTATAGACTATACTATAGACTAGACTATAGACTAGACTATAGACTAGACTAGAACTAGACTATAGACTAGACTATAGACTAGACTATAGACTAGACTAGAACTAGACTATAGACTAGATTATAGACTAGACTATAGACTAGACTATAGACTAGACTATAGACTAGACTATAGACTAGACTATAGACTAGACTATAGACTAGACTATAGACTAGACTATAGACTATACTATAGACTAGACTATAGACTAGACTATAGACTAGACTATAGACTAGACTATAGACTAGACTATAGACTAGACTATAGACTAGACTATAGACTAGACTATAGACTAGACTATAGACTAGACTATAGACTAGACTATAGACTAGACTATAGACTAGACTATAGACTAAACTATAGACTAGACTATAGACTAGACTATAGACTAGACTATAGACTAGACTATAGACTAGACTATAGACTAGACTATAGACTAGACTATAGACTAGACTATAGACTAGACTATAGACTAGATTATAGACTAGACTATAGACTAGAGTAGAAAATATCTGGTTTATTTATTAAGAAGATATAAATGTTCGGAAATGTACTTGAAATAATTAAAAAAAAAATTGCAAGTAAAATTTATGAATCAGAAATACTTTAAATATAAATATGACATAATTTGAATTTAATGGAAAAAATTTGTCGATAAACGTTATTCAAAATAAATTCTATATGCCGCACTGCATAATTTCTTAACAAAATTTTAAAGCCTTTATATAATTTTGCAATAAAATAAACAAGTTGCTTAGTTCTCTTAGATTTCAAATTTATATATGCAAACATCACAAAGTTATAAATAATTTGAAATTGTTATAAATTTATAAGAAGTTACAGAAGTTGCAATATTTCCCACACAATTAAATTAAAATTCTGATTGTTTATTTCAAAATTGAATTAATTTTGCTATCATTACACGTACTTTATATGTAATAAATATGTATAACTATGTGGTTATCATTAAATATATAAATATTAAGTTTTTCTTTAAAAGGCGTTTGATATTTATTAGCAGTTTGTTTTTTTTAACAAACGTGTGAAAATGAATAAATTAATTAATAAACATTTAAAAGAAACTAAAAAATGTATCTACGTATGTAGTATGTTATATATGTATATGTCTGTATGTTACGCATTAACTTGGAGAATTACTTCCGATTTTGTTAGATATTAAAAGAAGAAAAAAACTGGTAGAAAACCGGGTATCGAATAAATTGAGCGTATAAACTGCTAATGATAACAGTTTTTAAGCAAAAAATTAAATAAGAATTTACGAAAACAATGATTTGACAAATGAATTATAAACAACGAAATTATTTAAAGAATTTAAAAAAAAAAAAAAAAAAAACATGGTAAAAGACAACGGTTAATGAAACAAACTAGCGGCAAACGTTACTTGTTTGTTAACCAAACTACCAGTCAGCCAGCTAGACAACCAACCAACCCATCAGTTAGTTAACCAAGCAATCAGCCATATGGATGAGCAAGGTCAATGCCAAAACAAAATGTATACAAAAATGTATACAAAGACTAGAATAGACTAGACTAGACTAGACTAGACTAGACTAGACTAGACTAGACTAGACTAGACTAGACTAGACTAGACTAGACTAGACTAGACTAGACTAGACTAGACTAGACTAGACTAGAATAGACTAGATTAGACTAGACTAGACTATAGACTAGACTATAGACTAGACTATAGACTAGACTATAGACTAGAATATAGACTAGAATATAGACTAGACTATAGACTAGACTATAGACTAGGCTGTAGAGTAGACTATAGACTAGACTATAGACTAGAATATAGACTAGACTATAGACTAGACTATAGACTAGACTGTAGACTAGACTGTAGACTAGACTATAGACTATAGACTAGAATATAGACTAGAATATAGACTAGAATATAGACTAGACTATAGACTAGACTATAGACTAGACTATAGACTAGACTATAGACTAGACTATAGACTAGACTATAGACTAGACTATAGACTAGACTATAGACTAGACTATAGACTAGACTATAGACTAGACTATAGACTAGACTATAGACTAGACTATAGACTAGACTATAGACTAGACTATAGACTAGACTAGACTAGACTATAGACTAGACTATAGACTAGACTATAGACTAGACTATAGACTAGACTATAGACTAGACTATAGACTAGACTATAGACTACTAGACTATACTATAGACTAGACTATAGACTAGACTATAGACTAGACTATAGACTAGACTATAGACTAGACTATAGACTAGACTATAGACTAGACTATAGACTAGACTATAGACTAGACTATAGACTAGACTATAGACTAGAATATAGACTATACTATAGACTAGACTATAGACTAGAATATAGACTAGAATATAGACTAGAATATAGACTAGACTATAGACTAGACTATAGACTAGACTATAGACTATACTATAGACTAGACTATAGACTAGACTATAGACTAGACTAGAACTAGACTATAGACTAGACTATAGACTAGACTATAGACTAGACTAGAACTAGACTATAGACTAGATTATAGACTAGACTATAGACTAGACTATAGACTAGACTATAGACTAGACTATAGACTAGACTATAGACTAGACTATAGACTAGACTATAGACTAGACTATAGACTATACTATAGACTAGACTATAGACTAGACTATAGACTAGACTATAGACTAGACTATAGACTAGACTATAGACTAGACTATAGACTAGACTATAGACTAGACTATAGACTAGACTATAGACTAGACTATAGACTAGACTATAGACTAGACTATAGACTAGACTATAGACTAAACTATAGACTAGACTATAGACTAGACTATAGACTAGACTATAGACTAGACTATAGACTAGACTATAGACTAGACTATAGACTAGACTATAGACTAGACTATAGACTAGACTATAGACTAGATTATAGACTAGACTATAGACTAGAGTAGAAAATATCTGGTTTATTTATTAAGAAGATATAAATGTTCGGAAATGTACTTGAAATAATTAAAAAAAAAATTGCAAGTAAAATTTATGAATCAGAAATACTTTAAATATAAATATGACATAATTTGAATTTAATGGAAAAAATTTGTCGATAAACGTTATTCAAAATAAATTCTATATGCCGCACTGCATAATTTCTTAACAAAATTTTAAAGCCTTTATATAATTTTGCAATAAAATAAACAAGTTGCTTAGTTCTCTTAGATTTCAAATTTATATATGCAAACATCACAAAGTTATAAATAATTTGAAATTGTTATAAATTTATAAGAAGTTACAGAAGTTGCAATATTTCCCACACAATTAAATTAAAATTCTGATTGTTTATTTCAAAATTGAATTAATTTTGCTATCATTACACGTACTTTATATGTAATAAATATGTATAACTATGTGGTTATCATTAAATATATAAATATTAAGTTTTTCTTTAAAAGGCGTTTGATATTTATTAGCAGTTTGTTTTTTTTAACAAACGTGTGAAAATGAATAAATTAATTAATAAACATTTAAAAGAAACTAAAAAATGTATCTACGTATGTAGTATGTTATATATGTATATGTCTGTATGTTACGCATTAACTTGGAGAATTACTTCCGATTTTGTTAGAT